CACACACACACACACACACACACACACACACACACACACACACACACCACAACCCATGCATCCATATAGGTCTGTTGGATCAACTAAAATTTAAATATGAAAAATATTTTTGTTGATAGGTAATAATTTTTCAGAAGATATTTTATCTCTTCTAGGGACTAATTGCTGAAGAGGGAAAACATTCTTTTGCTAAAGAAGATGATCCTGAGAAATTTCGAGAAGCCCTTTTGAAATTTGAAAAATCTTTTGGTTTACCAGAGCAGGAAAAACTAGTAACATATTATTCCTGCAGTTATTGGAAAGGACGGGTTCCTTGTCAGGGTTGGCTCTATCTAAGTACCAACTTTCTGAGCTTCTATTCTTTCTTGCTAGGATCAGAAAGTAAGTGTTTGTTTATTGCTTATCATGGCTTTCAATTTTCCTTCTGTCCTTTCAACTCACTGGCATTAGGTTGTATATACAGTAATGGGATTGATATTAAAAGTAATTAAATTATACACACTTCAAAGAGGTTTCAACCACAGAAAGAATCCTTTTAAGGCTCTTTATGCAACACAGGGAACAATTTTTTAAATGCTAAGCATCTGTTATATAAGTACTGTTACTTTGTTAGAAGCTACCCACTTACTTGAATTTGTAGTTTGTTTTCTTTGTGGTTGTTGTTGTTGTTGATTTTTTTTTTCAAGACAGGGCTTCTCTGTGTAGCCTTGGCTGTCCTGGACTCACTTTGTAGACCAGGCTGGCCTTGAACTTACAGGGATCTGTCTGCCTCTACCTGCCCGAGTGCTAGGATTGCAGGCATGCTCCACTATGCGGGATTTAATGGGTGTTTTAATTCCTGCTTTAAACATACAGCATAAAACTATTAACCATTGTACTTCATCTCATTTTGTAGCCACAAAGAATCAAATTGTACTACTTACAGCATATGTATAGCTTTTAAATCAATGGTTATATGGTTAGAGAATTATATATAAAGAAACAGATCCAGGCACAGTAGCACATGCTTTTAATCCCAACACTCAGGGAGGCAGAGGCAGGAGGATCTCTGTGAGTTTGAAGCTAGCCTGGTCTACAAAGTGAGTCCAGGACAGCCAAGGCTACACAGAGAAACCCTGTCTTAAAAAAAAAGAAAGAAGGGAAGGAAGGAAGAAAGGAAGGAAGGAGGAAGGGAGGGAGAAAGGGAGGGAGGAAGGAAGAAATGGATTTAAAAATATTGAAACCTTTTCAAATTTCTTTAAAATGATATATGTTCCAAGTATTGGATAGATAACTCAGTAGTAGTGCCCATGTCTGGCATGTATCAAGCCTTGGGTTCAATCCCAGAACCATTGAAAACAAAACAAAAAAACCCAAGAACATATATGTTTTTAGAATCACTGACTATTTTATATGTATATGTGTGTGTGTGTATATATATATATATATATATTTGACCATTCTTTGACCTTTAAAGTACTGTAGCATTTTGTCAGTGGTCATGATAAAAAAAAAACTGAATTATGAACATAAATCAATATTGAGAATTTAATTGCAGTTACTTACAACTCTTATTTGCAGTTAAACTCATTATCTCCTGGGATGCAATCTCAAAACTTGAAAAGACTTCAACTGTTATACTAACAGAGAGTATTCATGTATGTTCCCAAGGAGAGAATCACTATTTTTCAATGTTTTTGCACATTAATGAAACATACCTGCTTATGGAACAACTGGCAAACTATGCTATAAAGAGGCTTTTTGATAAGGAAACATTTGATAATGACCCAGTACTTGACGATCCTCTACAAATTACTAAAAGGTATTTAAATATTAATATTTACTTCTATTTTCACTTATCTTTTGGGAGTATGGGGAGTCATGCATGCCAAGGCACGGGTACAGAGGTCAGAGGATAGCTTGCAACTGTCAGTTCTTGTTTTCCAACCATGTGGATTCTGGGAATTAAACTAGGGTCCTGAGGCTTGGAAGCAAGCACCTCTACCCTCCGAGCCATTTCACTGGCCCCAGTATTTATCTTTTAAAGTATTACTTGGCTATAAGAATGGTATAACATTGATTAACATTAAGAGTTAGCTATCCTGTGTTATATGACAGTTTTTCTCTGGGATTGATAATTGATGTATATATTTCTAAGTTTATTTGAATATGTTTCAGAACTCTTGCTCCTCCATGAAATTTACTTCTGAGAGATAACAGAAATTAGGTTTGGAAATTATTTTTTAACTTAAATAATATGTATATAAGAGTATGTTTTAGTTAGGATTTCTGTTGCTGAAATGAAACACCATGGTCATCACTGAAGGAAGTCAGGCAGGAAGTCAAACACGGCAGGAACCTGAAAGCAGGAGGTGATGCAGAAGCCATAGAGGAGTGCTGCTTACTGGCTGGTTCCCTGTGGCTTACTCAGCCTGCTTTCTTATAGTACCCAGGACCATCTGCCCAAATATGGTACCACCTATAATGGGCTGGGCCCTCTCTTGTCAGTCACTAATTAAGAAAAGATTAGTACCTACATCAGAAGTATCTGACCAGGTTGGAATGGGGACATGTATATATAATTCCAGCACTTAGAAGGCTGAGGCAGGAGGATCCTTAATTAGTTCTAGTCCAGCCTGGACTACACAAGGAGACCTTGTCTTCTAGAAGGAAAAAAAAATCAGACTGATCATTGTTTACAATTAAATTCAGTTTGCTGAAACTGAACAGAGCCTTACATTCTGCTCAACACTTAAACAGTTGGCTGAAAGGAACTTGCCAAAAAGAGGAAGAAAGGAAAGGATCCAGAAATAGCTAGTGAAAGCTGCTTTTGGTAAGGAAGATGAGGATATAGACTGGGAAAATTTAAGAGAAACCTAATTCAGAGTCCTGTGGATAGACTAGGATAAGTGATGCTGAGCCCTAATTGGGTAGTCATTTCTCACATGGCTCCTAAATTATTCCTAAAATGCATTAAGATTACTTTGTACATCTGCTTTTCTAGAAATTAGATTAATGAGACAATTTTTTTACACTGTATTACTAAAGTTAGGTCTGTACATGATTTGTAAATGAACTATTTTATTCAGATTTAAGGCTCAGAGATGGTTCAGAAGTTAAGAGCACTAGCTGCCCTTTCAGAGGACTTGGGTTTGATTTCCAGCATCTCTACAGTGGCTAGCAGCCACAAATACTCCTATTCCAAGGAATTTGATTCTTTCTCTGACAACCACAGTAACCAGGTACACACTTGGTGAGCAGTCATACATGCAGGCAAAACATTCATACAATAAAAATAAATAAATATATCAATTTGGAAAATTATTTAATGCTGGAGAGATGACTTGGTGATTGAGAGCATTTACTGCTCTTACAGAAGATCTGTGTTCAGTTCCTAGCATCCATATCAGGTGATTCATAGCCACTTGTAACTCTAGTTCCAAGGGATCTACATGCCCTGACCTCTTCAAATATCTGCACACAAATGGTCCACCTAAACTGACATGAGTATACCCACATTCACATAAATAAAAAGAACTTAAAATTTCACTTCTTATTACATTATTGCTAAGCATTTGCTATTGTAATTTTTCCTTGATTGACCACTTGAAATGTTCTTTTTTATTTTTTTATTATTATTTTATTTTTTATTATTATTATTAGTTACATTTTATTAACTCTGTATCCCAGCTGTATCCTGCTCCCTTATTCCCTCCCAATCCCACCGTCCCTCCCTCATCTCCTCCCTGCCCCTTTCCAAGTCCACGGATTGGGGAGGACCTCTTCCCCTTTCGTCTGGTCCTGAAATGTTCTTTTAAAGCTAATTTTATTTTCCCTTACAGAAACCCACTCCTAGGTGAAGAATTACAAGTACGTAATGACTGCTGAGAAAGAGAATTAGTCTTCCTCAGGGAAGAGCCCATAATACGTTACTAGTAGCAAGTGTCCAACCCTAAAACTGTATGCATAGAAGTAATACTAATCAGACTCAGCAAGTTGTATTTATGTATTTATCCATACATCACTACAAACAAATACATAATAATTAACGAAAAAGAGGTGAATTCGAGAGAGGGTGATGGGGATGGAAAGGGTTGAGGTTGGAGGGAGTGTTGATATAATATTTTAATTAAAAATAAAACTCGGGGCATTGAGAGATGGCTCAATGGTTCAGAGCACTGGCTGTTTTTACAGAAGACCCCGGTTCAATTCCCAGCATCACTTGGTGGCTCACAGCCATCTGTAACATGAGTCACAGTGGTTCCAGTACCCTCTTCTGGCCTCTTTAGTTAATGTGTGCACAGGGTGCACCGACCACATGCGAACAAAACACTCATATACAGAAAAGTAAATAAAATAAAGGAAAAAAATCCAAAATTTTAAAAATTAACAGTAAATTCATTTTTCTTAAAATATGACCTAAGAGATCATGTATCAATGAGTGTATATATTACTGTCTTTATTTAAATGAGGTATAGTAAATTTTATCTTTATATAACTGAGCATATTAAGTGCCACATATGTCTAGACTGCTTTTTCTAGCAAGTTAAGAATAAATTACTAAGAAAGTCTTCAGAGCACATTTTTTTTGTTTATTTTTTTATTAATTACAGTTTGAGATCACATTTTTTAAGTGGAGCATTTTTATTGCTTCTGTTTGCTTTACCAACACGTGCTATATAATGTAAACAATCTGGAAGCACAATTGCAAGCATCTAGTGTATATCCGTTCATATGTTTTATTCCAGAAATTTAAAAAAGCTTGCAAAAAAAAGGGCTTAACACAACATACTTATTTTTCTTTTATAATAATGTCACAGAATTTTTTCTATCCAGAAAAATGGACTGTGATTAATCATCCATTTATATAATAATGGAATATCCCAGCAAATTACAATGTAAGTAGAGTAAAAATTTACAAGGTTTTCTGGATATAAATATATTATTTTGTCAGACACAAAGAAGTACTACATTTTCAAACAGTAGATACAGGAAGGGTGGATTTAGTTTCAATTTTGTTGGCTCTGAGTTAGAACTTGCATAATTTTCTTACTACCCCAGATGGCATTGCTGCTTAGCACAAGGTTTTTAATGCCCCTAGAAAAATCATGCTATTTAGAGCAACAGCTTTGTATTGATATATTTTTCAGTTAACAAGATTCATCTCTGTTTATCAGCTCCTGTCCTATGCCCAGAATGGTGCAAGCACTGTTGTTTTTTCCTGCTCTGATTTTGGATGTTTTTAAACAATCATGTTTGCCTAACTGAATCTTGATACTCTGTTTTATAATATGCTCTTCTTCTTTAAACTTCAATGCCCCAATTTTCATTATTTAATTTTATTTGTATAATTGCTCAATTTTCTAATAACCAAATATGTGAATTACTGCATCCCAAGGTTGTTTTAGCCATAGGAACATATTATTAATTTATCATAAAATCACCCAAACACATCATTTTGAGACCTATATTATCTCTAAATTTTGTGTATCTTAGTCTGTGAATAAAATGAGATTGGGAAAATCAATAAATGAAGTTACTGAGAATTCATGTTATTTTTCCCTTTAAGAATTCATTGAAGAACCTACCACTTCATGTTTAATTTTTATGCTTTATAGTTTATATAGGTTAATCAATATAGGTATGTACATACTTTAGAATTCATCATTTGAGCCCCTCTCTCCTGTCTTTTTCTTTTCTACAGAGGGTTGGAATATCGAGCCCACAGCGAGCAATTCAAAGCTTTTTTTAGGCTACCCAAAGAAGAGACTTTGAAAGAAGTACATGAATGTTTCTTATGGGTACCATTCAGCCACTTCAGTACTCACGGAAAAATGTGCATTTCAGAAAATTACATCTGCTTTGCTAGCCAGGATGGTAATCTATGTAGTGTAATCATCCCATTACGAGAGGTAATATAAATTTGGTACATATAAGTTTTTAATTTATAGAACATCCTGTAATTCTGTGAATTAGTGAAAGGCTCAATACATGTATACTTTTAGCAATTTAATCATTTAGGTACAAAATTACTCTTCAAGATAAAAATACTAGCTTGTGACATATTTTTAAATTCCTTTTGGTAAAGCTTTGCAAAAAGTGAAAGTGGAAAATTTTAAGAAGCAGGTAAAGTTTTAGGGCAGTGGTTCTGAACCTTCCTAATGCTGTGACCCTTTAATACTGTTTCTCATGTTGTGGTGACCCTGAATCATAAAATTATTTTGTCGCTATTTCATAACTAATTTTGCTGCTGTTATGAATTGTCACATAAATATATGATAAACAGTATATCCGATATGCAACCCCTGCGATAGAGTTGTTTGCTCCACTAAAGGGGCTAGGACCCACATATTGAGAACCAATGGTTTAGGGTAACACAAAATAAATTTGATCATTCTGATCCCTAAGATATGGTTACCAAATTTTAGACTATAATATTTGATGTATTTGATCAAAAAGAATGGAATTGGTAACTTTCATCTCAGTCAAAATGTAGTATTCATCACTGAATGTTTTGTTTATATTGATAATTTTAAAGGCCATGTTAATTCAGCTTTTTCCTTGAAAGGTAAAGTAACTTGAATCGAGGAGTTTTGTACAATCATTAAATAATTCCCATTTGCAAATCCCTCTCTTATTAAGTCACACCACAGAGCAAAACTTTCAGCCATAACAGAGTCAGCCAAACACATATCTGAATGTGTCAGCACTAAGAGAAAATGTGATTCACTTAATTATCTTTTTATTCTCCAGGTCTTAGCTGTAGATAAAACTGATGACTCCAACAGATCTGTCATGATTAGCATCAAAGGAAAAACAGCTTTTCGTTTCAATGAGGTTAAAGACTTTGAGCAACTGGTGTCAAAACTCAGGCTCAAATGCCGGGCAGCTTCAACTCAGGACGTTGTTAGTACAGAGGTAATCTCTATAGCAGTCACATAATTTTGAAGAAAGCTTTGTGTTTAGAATAGTCTGTTCTTTCAAAAGGAATCCATAATAATTTTCTTATTCATACCTATATTTCCTGTTATAAGTCTAAATCTAAAAAAATTATATTCTCTATACTATCTCAGAAGTAAAACTCAACGAGTTTAAAGTGCTTAGGAGCTAATTCTTTAAGAAATACTATAATCTGATCTTTCTGCTGTCTTTGCTGTTTTTCAATAAGCATACCTTGTATGTTCATATAACTTGCCTTTTAACTCAATCTGTATTTGAGAAATTAACAAGACCTTAAGTGTTCTCTTTAATTGGGGCTAGAGAGATGGCTCAGTGGTTAAGAGTACTGGCTGCCCTTGATTCATTTCCCAGCACCTATATTGGGTAGTTCACAACCATGGATAACTCCAGTTCCAGGGGATCTGCCACCCTCTTCTGACCTCTGAGGTTATTAAGTGCACATGGTGCACATATATAATGTACGGGAAAAACACCCATATTCATCAGATAAAATGAAAGAAAAATAAAAACATTTCCTCTTATTAGTACAGAGGTAGCAATGTAAATCAGATTACAATTTTTAATACCTAATTGTTCAGCTTTATTAACATAATTTGGTCCCAAACAAAAGAGTGGCATAGGTGTTTACTAACAAAATATTAGGGGAGGGGGACAATGAGATGACTTAGCAGTAAAGGCACTTGCCATACTTGCCATACAAACATGGCAACCTAAATTTGATTCCTAAAACCTAAGTCCACAGTTGTCCTATGATTTCTATACACACATACATGTATACACACACACACGCACAATAATAAATATAATTTTAAATACACAGGATTATTTTGCTCTAAGTTTTAAATTATAAAAATAATAGAGATAATAAATACTCTGAACAAAGAGTTGTTAGGAGCCCAACAGTTATTTTTAATATGTCTCTCAAGAAAATGTAGACAGACTGACTATTTCTAACAGGATCTCAAGGGCAGGCTGTTTGACACCCCCCCCCCCAAGGGAGGAGCAGTCTGTTAGGCCACAGAGGAGGACTTTGCAGCCACCCCTGAAGATACCTGATAAAACAGGGTCAAATGAAAGGGGAGGATGTCCTCCCCTATCAGTGGACTTGGAAAGGGGCAGGGAGGAGACCAGGGAGGGAGTGTGGGGTTGGGGAGGGAAAGAGGGAGCGGGATACAGCGGGACACAGAGTTAACAAAATGTAACTAAAAAGAAAAATAAAATTAAAAAAAAAAAGAAAATGTAGACAGACTGAATTCAAACAAATTTTCAATTCTGAATCCAAGAGCTGTGTGCTTTTACATATTTATAAAATGTACAAAGCGTAACCATTTCTATCTTAATTAAAGATTCAAAGGTAAATAATCAAGATTGGCTTTCGACCACTTTGTGAGGACTGAAAATGATATGATAATTCAATTATAATGCAGCCTTTTCTTCAAAAAACTACAGTATCGTATGTGTGTCCTCTCTGTTCCAGATGCCAAAGCTTTATGTAGGCTATGGAGAATTTGTCTTTCCCAAAGTATGTGTTCCCCTTACTTTGGAAAACTACTTGGTTACTGAGCTACCATGGGCCACATCCGAGCAGAAGTTCTAGGTTATATCCATAGATGGTCCTTGGTTGAGTGTCAGTCTCAGAAAAGACCCTGTGCCCAGATATATTTGGTCCTTGTAGAGCTCCTATCCTTTCCATATCATACTAACTTCCCTTCTTTCATATGATTCCCTGCACTCTGCCGAGGGTTTGGTTATGAGTCTTAGTGTCTGCTTTGAAACACTGCTAGGTAGAGTCTTTCAGATGCCTTTTGTGGTAGACTCCTGTCATAAGTTCAATGCACATCCCATTTGTCTTTCTAAATGAGGATTAATCACCTTCGCCTGTGTCCACTTTCTTGATTATCTTCTTTAGGTGTGTAGATTTCATTATGTTTATCATGTCTTGTAGGTCTATATAAGCGAGTATATACCAAGTTTGTCTTTCTCCTTCTGGGATACTTCACTCAGAATGATCTTTTATCCAGGATATTTCTTAGCTTAATGCTAGAGCACAAATAAAATTTCATCAGTCTTGATAATTACTCTCTTAATACTCCTACATTCCCAATTATATCAAATTTGTCCTGTCTTCTTCATTTCAGATTTAAACTATGCTAGATCTAGTATTCTGAGTATCTTTCCCTTTCCCTTAATATATCTGTCTTTCTAAAGTGGAAGGAACTACAAATTTTTCTTGGGAGTCTCATGTGCCTTTGGTAACTGAGTGTCCTCCATTGTCAAGAAAAGATTTTTATTTCAAAATGTTGACCATTTCTCCAAATCCATCAGAATGCTAAGGATTTCTACTTTTTCTTACTCATTTTAGAGGCTTTAATAGAGATATGTTCAGAATACTTACTAATCAGGATAGCAATTTGCATAGAAATATGTTTTTGAATTTTCATGTTTCATTTTCACTGATTTGTGTGTGTTCATGTGCATTGCGCATGTGCTCATGCATAGGTGCATGTCATAATTTTTATGTGGATGTCCATTCTTTGCTTCCACTATTTGAGTCCTGGTGATTGAACTCAGGTCATCAGCCTTGTAACAGGCACCTTTAACCTGCTGAGCCATCTCATCTACCCATAACTGAAGATTTTCATCTTGGCAATGGTGAAGAATTCTGAACCATTTTAGTATTGTCTATATATATCTAGCTATATCTATGGTACATCATAAAAATTAAGAGAAGAGAAAGTTTTTTTAAAACAAAAGATAGGGACTAAGGACATAGTTCAGTGGTAGACCAGCTGTTACCATGGGTAATATCCAGTATTAAATACCCAACACTTAAAAAAAAAAAAGCCAGTGCATTTGATTTTTAAATAACAGAGGTGGTTGTTTCATTCTTTCATAGCTATAATAAACTTACCTAAACAATGAGAAAAAGTGCATTGGGTAATTTTAACAAACCTGGTGACTTAAAGCAAAGGACACCGTCATCAAAACAAAGCGACTGCCTACAGATT